TGCCGGCGACCATGGCTTTTGTGCTTTCCCCCGTTGAGCGTTCCCCGGAGACCACCTCCATAACTTCTCTCAGAAAATCGTTTGGCAGATTTTGAATGCAGATTTGAAATCAGCATCAAAAAATACGCCTAGCAGTATAGCTCCCATTTCAAATGGCCTCTTCGACTTGGGATCCTTCCCTTGTAAGGAAAAGGCACCGTATACCGTCACACTTCGTCCATCATGTTTAGTTGTGGGTAGGTACACTTTGGATTGAGCCTTACCCCAGATGAACGCGTCCTCCGTACTGTGAACCAGCGCTCCCCAAATTAATCGGCTTGCTCTCGTCTGTAAAAAGAACTCCACTACAGTTAGCTGAAGTTCAGTCGAGGTGAAAAGGCGGCAAGCTCCGCTCCAGCTCTACTATTTCATAGACTGATGGACGGCTTTTTGGCTGAGCGCTTCCCATAAATACCAGCATTATTCATGCGTCTCCTTACAGCCCATCGATCAAGAGTGGCGCCATCGCTAGCGCTGATCTGGCCGAGGGGGATGGTACACTTGTGCGATTCGAACTGCGCGCGGCAAATTGCTCGGCGAATCTCGTGGCCATTCGAATGGCCCTGGCGCCTACTACTGGGGCACAAACCTCAAGTAGAGCAGATCGGTATGGTCAGCTAGTCCTACTAATCTACTTCATTGCGAATTTGGGCCCCAATAATAAGCGCTAAACTCGTCAGGATCGCTATAGATTTCGCCGCGCAATTTGCCGCGCGCGGCGCTAATCGTACGAATGTACACATACCCCGTGAGCCGCATGTCAGTCACAGTAAGACGAGGGTCAGTTTCCGATCGAGATGTGATCCGTCTGTCCTGGCTGGTGAAGTACATCGGGGCCTTTCCATTCTGCACTCGGCATTGCAAACAGAGTTCTTGACCTGACAACTTTGAATGATCGAAGGAATCGTCTGCTATGGAACCTCCCAACCTTGAAATCACAATGACTTTCATGCCCTTTCCTTCATGACTACTGCTGCCTTCCGAACTCTCTGAATGACTTCTGTCTTTAGATGCATGCCTTGAGTGTGCAAGTACTATCATCGAGCCCAAATGGGATGCAAAAAGTCAAGTTATCGCCGAGCTCGTAATCAGGGAAAATCGTAAGGTAGTAAGACCTCTGCGCGTGGTCAAGTGATCCTCAGTTTTGAAGCCGAATATATAAACTAATAGTTCGGTTCAGTTTAAGTCTTCTTGAATTCCTTTGCGAGAAAGAAGTTACGATTGAAAAGCGTTTCACCGAAGACTTTTGACCGCTACTGTAGATACATAGCTGCCTCCTCTACTCATAAGAAGTTTTACTAAATATGACATTTTTCATTTTCTAACAACTTCAAAGCTATGTTTTGCTTTTGTATGAGAACTAACTAAGTTGATTACGCCATTCAGCTATTAGCTAAAACCGCGTGTTCTTGTAGGATTTTGGTCTAATTTGAGAACTGTTCGGCGAACGACTTCCATTTCGGACTCATGAAGAACTATCTCTATTTGATTCCGTTTGCCATACTCTTCACTCGTTTTTCTCCTTCAACGGCTTTCCTCTGTTGTTTGGAATGTCCAGGGACAACAACTACAACGGTAACGTTATTCATTTTGCATATTTCAGATTACTGAATCTAAATAAAAGTTTAAGTGGTGAGAGTCTAAATAAAAGTAAAGGTAGACTTGTGTTAGGTTACCTCTAGTCCCAGTCAAAAGAAGTTAACTCTATTCCCATACAAAAGAGTCGCTTTCCTTTTTCAGTTGTTTTCAAGTCTAAATGGTTACTCAAAGCAGCGTTCTCGGGAATATCAACCACCGTTCCTCGTGCAAATTGATTGTTCAGATCCCAAAAAATACCATAAATTTTTCGAATGTTGCAAAGAGAAGCTTGTAGCACTACAGCTTCAGCAATGTTAACTTTCTGTCGGTTAACAATTGAAGCATCGTTTGTAAATGTGCACTCAGCACCTTCAAAGTGGAGGCTCTTGACCAACGGACAAGTATCAGAGCTAGCCAGGACATACCATCTTCACTGCACTGGGACCAACTTTCCCTTCTACTTTTCCTCCCTCAAAGGTGACTAATTGGAAAGTGGTGCTTGACTAAAAGGGCTTTGTTACCGTTCACCTCCTTATCAGATGGAACAGTAATCTCCTCGAGAACCTTTCCGCATCGGACGGACTGGACATCCTTGATCCAGACCCAGAAAACATTTTATCACTATCACAATGACCACAACTTTAGAGAGCGAGGACTAGATGTTCGCGGTCAATACGAGGGCAACCCATCCCAAATGTAAGGAGGTCGTGGTCGTGTTTGATTTGTCAGTCTCTACATCTTCATCGTCGTTTATATCAATACAGGGAAAAACCGCTTATATGAAGGGTCATACGGTCACCGCCATGAGACCGATTTCCTAACTGACCACCTCGGTTCCCCTTCCTCCCCTTCCCAACCCGACCTCGGTACGTATCACCACGATCCAACAGCTTGGATCCCTTGTCCCTCTGTTTGACCTTACGACCCCTATCGCCTTAGGACCGTTTTTCATGTATGTATATTAAGGACAATGACGCTGTAGAACGTGGAAAATTAAATCGATCTGATCTAGGGTATTTAAGGGTTGGTCAAAGCTTTAAATCAAAACCCGGTGACGGAGCCATGCGCTCGAATTCTCATGGTAGCACACACGCAGCAGGCACTGCCGAAACTCTTTGAAGAAATTTCTAGATAGCTCAATTTTCAGACAGAAAGGCCACCATTCGAAGAGCAGAATGCATTCCAAAGAGCTGGATGGGAAACAGACGACGACGGAAACGTGTTCGTTGGCAACGATAATTGCAAACTTCTGCTCATCTCTGTCGGAGACTATTGGCCGTACCCTAAGGACTACCGTAAGAAGTAGATTGATTCCAAGATATAATTCGAGCGTAGGCCTTTCAGAACAGTGTAGTCTGAATACAAACGAAGAAATATTATGTTTTCTGCAGATTTCAGTAGCAAGTGTTAACTCAGTCGCTCGCATTGAGAAATTGTTGTGGATTTCTTAATTTTCATTGTGCTGTAGAGATTGTTCGTGAGCGCAAGCACTTGAAGACTTCACTTTTGTATCTACTCTTTTCTCACTTTCATTCACTACTCCAAGAATTTTCATAAAGTTTGATGATTGAATGTTTGATTTCTTTGAGTGTTCTTATTTCTGCACTGAAATCTGGCAGTTATGTGGTTAAGCTTCAAGAGAAATACCTTGAAGGCACAGTTCATGATAACTTTGAGGTACCCGTTTTTATTCGAAAAGCGGAAGTATAGATTGGGAATAGCCCATCGGTAGTGAAGAAAGCGAGAAAATTCGCCGATTTTGAGGAAGATAAGGCTTCCCAAATGAAGGGAAAATAGAAATTGGACGAGTTTACAGTGCGGAAATAACATGGAAGGGGTATTCGGACGAGATTTCGGTTGTTGCAATTGCGCAAAGAGCTGAATACGTCAAGCCGGAACTGTAAAGAACNGCCTTCCCCTGCCGCTATAGTTCATGACAAGTTGATTGAACTTCCTACACGGGTTCCTTTGTGATTTGTGCAGCCTCTACAATGCCGGTGAAACTCGTCCAAGGATACACACGGGCCAATCTTTGAGTTTTATAGTGCCCCATCTTAGCCGTTTTTCGACATGACAGCGCCAGATACGGTACAAGAGGGGGCCACAGATTCATCCTATGGGGAAATCCCAGTAGCCATTTTTATCGTGATTCGTGCCTTTAAGAGAATCACCTTAACATACATATACTATTTCTTCCCTGAAGTGTTCAGCTCGTAAAAGTTGACTTTGGGTGGAAGAATTTTTTGTTAAGCAAGACATGTTACATTCCTACGAGTAAGGTTGGTATGGTGTGAAATTAATGGGTGCAGTTCACCTCTTATATTGGAAAATTATCAGAATGCTCGACATGAGCATTCGTAGGAGGACTAATTCCCTTGCACAGAGTCTGTAGCGAAAGGTAGACTTTAGGAATATCGTTGAATATGTTTTTCATCTAGATCACATCTGAAACCTGCTTCTTCCATGTTCTGAACAAGCCCTTCCTAAGAGGAAGCACGAGAACTCATGCTAGCCCATCTCTCCTCCTCTAGTCCTTCTCCTACCCCCCCCCCCCCCCCCCCCACCCCTTCTCCTTCCCCCACTTCGCTACACATCCTTCTTCACTTAGGAAGCCATGAAATGGCTGCATCACAGTCATCAACGCGCTTAGTACTATTTCACGACGTCATAACTGGATCTTATGCGCTATATCAGGAACGATATAAACCCTACCGTCATATCCATCAATCATCGGAACCGACAATCTCCGTTCAATGGATCCATCTCGGTCTTGGGGACCAGTCCCGATCCACAATCATATTCACACAACTTCCTTCCTCTCCTCGAAAGACTTGCGTCCTTGTGTAAAAGCTCATAACTTCACTAACAGTACTCGATGTTATTAAACACTACTTTGACCGCAACAAGCCAAAAGGTTTTCTTCTTAAAAAATCTTTTGCGTGAAGAAAATCGCGAACATTGAATAGTGCCACTAGTTAGTTGGATGCCACTTCAAATAGTGTTTTGCCAATGAGAGTGATAGATTTGGGTAATCCTTCCCTTTGAGGATTCCACACACAGGAGAAATTTTAATTTTCTAGTTTATTCAGTTGATACATTTTGATTCACTTGTTACTTATCTTCAAGTTGTTCGTTGACTTGCTCTAGCGAGCACCAGTAGAGTCTATGTACGCCCTCCCGCGAGCCAACGTTCTCTTGTGAGCTCTAGTCGCTCTTTTCGGTCAGTGCTTTCATGAGGAAATCTCATCATCGGACTGGCGACCGCCTTGGTGTTCGATAGTCCATTCAGGAGCAGCCAACGTTCACGGTTGCAAGACGCCTCCGATGAGGTCTTATTTTAGAAGAGAAGATTTTTTATGGGCTGCCTGAGGAACTCTACTTTCCAGGTTCTCTGTTTTGAATGACACCAGTCGTTCTCGCGAACTGAACTGAATATTCAAACGACATCGTATCGTTAACCCTATCAGAGCCGTGTCTTAGTGAAAATGTCCACGTGCGGCTCTCGATGAACCTCGGCATATTTTCGAAGAAACTTTATTTATATAACTCCACACGAGGTTTACAATACCTTAATGGCTAACGTTCCGGTGAAACCACCTTCGTCAGAGCCTAAAAGGATGGAATCAATTTATGAGATTACCCGATCAAACATCTCCACCCCCCACAATATCTTCGAGACCAACTTGATCATCATACAATTCTAGGTGGATAAAAAGTACCGTACCTTCCTGGTGAGCAGAACCGACCGTCGTGAGCGATGTAGACTGGCTGTCTCGAGTTCAAAATTCACAGTGAAAGGCTAGCCTTATATAAGGGATGGGTTCGCGCGTGATTGACGCGCATTC